AGGAAAATCACTTGAACCCAGGAGGTGGAGGTTGCAGTGAGCCGAGACTGCGCCACCACACTCCAGCTTGGGCAACAGAGTGATATTTCGTCTCAAAAACAAACAAACAAACAAACAAAAAAACCCAACAGTTACGTTTTGCTGAAATTAAAATCTCAACAGTAATTTTGTGAAAAGAAAATCTCAGTACCTATTTCTGTACTTATTGATAAGAATAGTTAAGAAACTCTTGAGGAATAAGAATGAAGTGGGAAGACTTTCCCTATCAGATATCAAGACATTTATTATTATTACTGCTACAGGTAATAAGGCAATGCTGTACTGGCACAAGATTAGATAAATAAACTGGTGGAATAGAACAGACAGGTCAGAAATAGTCCCAATAATATATGAACACTTGGTATTTGACAGAGTTGGCATTGTAACTGAATGGGAGAAGGAAAGACTTTTTAACAAATGATATTAGGGCATTGGATATTCATAAGGAAAAAAAATTAGACCTCTATTCTCATACTCTACATGAAAATTAATTCCAAGTATATTAAAAACCTAAATGTGAAAGTCAAAACCATAAAAATTGTAAATGTTATCATAGTATAAAGGAATATTTCATATTTTAGTATAGAAAGATTCCTTTGAAAAGACACAAAAAGCACTTACCGTAAGAAAGGATTGATAACTTCGATATCTATCTTATAATTAGAACTTATGTTTATCAAAAGAAATCATTAAAATGGAAAAGTAAGTGACAAGGTGGGGAGAGATGTATGGAACACATATAAAGGAGAAAGAACTAAAATTAAAACAACTTCTACAAATTAATTTGAAAAAGTCATACAACTCAACAGGAGAAAATGACAAATGTCTAGAATAAATGCTACACAAAAGAGGAAACCCTAATGTTCAATAGGCTTGTGAAAAGATGCTCAACATTATTAGTCATCAGGAAAATCAAATTATGAGATGCCATTTACACCAACTAGATAGGCAAAAATTAAGAAGTCTGATAATACCAAGTATTGGCCAGCAGGTGGAGCAATGAGAACTGTTTAACCTGGCTAGGAAGGGTATGAATTGGTACATGCCTTGAGGAAGTTAGGTATCATCCAATTAAATTGAAGGTGCTCATATTCCATAAAGCAGTAATTCCATTCTTACATAAGTGCCCTAGAAATACCTGTGTTTATATACACTACCAAGAACATTGATGGTAGCACCGTTTTGTAACAGTCAAAAATAAGATTTCATCTCACCCCAGTTAAAATGGCCATTATCAAAAAGAAAAAAAAAAAAAAAACCCAGAATCTGGCAAGGATGTGGAGGAAGGGGAACTCTCATACACTGTTATTGGGAATGTAAGATGGTACAGCCATTATGGAAAACGGTATGGGTGTCCCTCAAAAAACTAAAAATAGCACTACCATTATGATTCAGCAATCTTACTGCTGGATATATATCCAAAAAAATTTTTAACAGTATATTGAAGAGATATCTGCACTCCTATGTTTATTGCGTCACTATTTACAAGATCCAAGTTATGGAATCAACCTAAGTGTCCATCAGTAAATAAATGGATAAAGAAAATGTGATAATATGTACACGATTTAATAGTATTCAGGTATTTAAAAAAGAATGCAATCCTGTCATTTGTGGTAACACAGATGAGCTTGAAGGATTTTATGTGAAGTGAAATAAGCCAGGCACAGAAAGACAAATATCACATGTCCTCACTCATGTGGGAGCTAAAAAGTTTCAAGGAGGTGGAGAGTAGAACTGTGGTTGCCAGAGGCTGGGAAGGGTGCTGCAGAGGGGCGAATGAAGAGAGATTGGTTAATGGGTGCAAAAATAAAGTTAGAGAGAAGGAATAAGTTCTAGCGTTCAATAGCACAACAGAATGACCACAGTGTTTTGTTGTTGTTGTTGTTTTAGACGGAGTCTCGCTCTGTTGCCCAGGCTGGAGTGCAGTGGCACGATCTCGGCTCACTGCAAGCTCCGCCTCCCGGCTTCATGCCATTCTCTTGCCTCAGCCTCCCAAGTAGCTGGGACTACAGGCACACCCCACCACGCCCAGCTATTTTTTGTATTTTTTAGTAGAGACAGGGGTTTCACCATGTTAGCCAGGATGGTCTCGATCTCCTGACCTTGTGATCCGCCCGCCTCGGCCTCCCAAAGTGCTGGGATTACAGGCGTGAGCCACCGCTCCCAGCCGTGTATTTCAAAATAGCTAGAAGATTTGTAATGTTCCTAATGCAAAGAAATGATAAATGTTTGAGCTGATAGATATCCCAATTACCTTGATTTGATCATTACACATTGTACACATGTATCAAAATATCACGTGTACCCCATAAACATATACAATTATTATACATCAATAAAACTAATAAACTGTAAAAATAAAACCTGCAAACAACCAGAATGGTCCTCAAAGTTATCATGAATAAATCATGGTATATTTATACAATGGTAAACTGTACAGCAATAAAAATGGATCAACTACAGCTATCTGCAATATCGATGAGTCTCACAAGCAATGTGGAATGAAACAAGATAGTCACAATTCCAAGTTTAAAAAGCATTTAATGTTTGAACATCTGTAAAACAAAACTGTTGTTTAGGGATGCTTATAAGGAAGAAAACGTATAAACAAATGCAAAGAAATTATTATTACAAATGTCAGCATAGGGGCTACACCTGAGATGGAGGGAGGGATGTCATCAGTGGTGGGGGGAGAGGAGTAGGTTATTAAAGGGCTCTATTTCTTGCCCTGGCTGGTTATTACATGGGTGATGGCTTTATAAATGTTCTTTAAACTGGTAGTTCTCTTCTGAATGTATGTTTTCCTAATGAAATAGAAAGTAGGGTCACTAGTTGGAAATGATGAGGGAGGGAGTATTAAAAGATTTGAGGAAAGGACCAGAGACATTGGAGAGTGAACAGACTAGAGAAATACAGTATTTTTATCTTTTCTGAAAGCTTTTTATATTGTTTCTGATTTATTATGCTTTTTCTCTCACATGCAACGATATTTTATTAACTTTAACATACTACACTATATATAGTTATCCCAGCAAAATTATAATGCTATTTAATGTTTAAAAATAATTGTAAACGCAAAATTAAGTCAAAATATACCATATAATGATTTGTCACAAAACATTAGTCACTTATTATTTCAACTTGAGCTTTAGAAAAGCTGTTGTTGTTTATATTTAGAAAAAAATGTATCTCATGCATATATTGTGTTGTATGATGGCTTTTTATTCTTTTACTTTTGACTTTTTATACCAAGTAATTTTAGTGTTAAATTGTATATTTTATGTATTTAAACAGATATGGATATTTATTACCTCCTATTTTATTGATCTCAACTCCTAAAAGTCATTTTTAATATCAGAAAACATAGCCACATTAACATCACTAAACTAAATATTAACATTGACATTTAAAATTACTTGAAAATGACTATGCCCTTAAATTTTGCTGAGAACATTTAAGTGGACAAAGTTGACAAGTCTGTATAATTTTACAGTATTGCCTAGGGTTTCATATGAACCGATTTGAAAAACTCAATTATTTAAATTATAACTTACTTTAGTTGTAAATCCACGTTTATATTATAATTGCATAGCTTCAGGCTTCAACATACACAATGTAAAGTTTTTATAAGGGCAAATATAGTAAATTTAAGCAATTATTAGCAATTTAGCTTTAAAATATACTCTGAGGGGAAAGTACCCTAACTTTTTCCTCTGCTCTCACACCATGGCAATCAACACAGAATATTTCCATGTCCAAATGTGTGGGGTTTTCCCACACACTAAGTGAGCAATCAGTTCTGCAGTGAACACCAGATGGGTGTACTCCAATTCCATTCTGACACAATCTACCTGTAGATAGCATAATATCCCACAAGCTGAGGACTAGGTCTCACAGGACTGTTCCCAGACCCTTCAGACACCAGTTGCAAATCCAAGCCTCCAGAACTTCTGACAGATGGGCTTCAATTTTGAGTTCACATGACCCCTTCTTTGGGTTTAATTTGCCAGAAAGGGCCACAGAACTTAGGGAAATACTTAACGTTTACCACTTTATTATAAAGGATATATCAAAGGACACAGATGAAGATATGCATAGGGTGAGGTACTGCAGAAGGGGCTCAGAGCTTCTGTGCCCTCCCTGGGGCACCACCCTCCAGGAACCTCCACATGTTCAGCTATCTGGAAGCTCTCAAACCCCAGTGCTTTGGGGTTTTTATGGAAGCTTCATTGCATAGGCATGATTGATTAAATCATTGGCCACTGGTGATCAACTTAATCTTCCACCCCTCTTCCCTCCCTGGAGGTCGGAATGAGGTTGTTAAGTCCCAACCCTCTAATGGTGCCTTGGTCTTTCTGGTGACTAGTTCCCATCCTGAAGCAACCAGGGGCTGCCAGCCATAAGCCAATCATTAGCATACAAAAAGATATCACTTTGGAAATTCTAAGGATTTTAGGAGTTGTATGCCAGGAAACAGGATCAAAGACCAAGTATATATTTCACAGTATCACATATACCGTGTGAGTTTTCATTTTATTATATTCTGTAATAACTGTGGCATTGTCAGAGATAAAACACAGTCTTTTAAAAAATAATTTGGATCTACAAACATTGAATCTAGGAATATTGAAAATTGATGTATGCGATTCTCAGATAGTTCAGGGAAAAAATATCCTGTGTGTGTATAGACAGAGTGCACACTTAAATAATAAAGCAAATGGGGAGAAACATTAATAATAGGGGAATTAGGGTAAAAGGGACGTGGGTGTTCTTTCAGCTTTATTTATGCTTGCAACATTTTTAAATGTTTGAAATTATTTTTAAAAAAGAAGTTAAAATGAAGAAAGGGACATGGATGGACAGAATGACATAAGTGGAAATCACCAGTGTACTTGGGAGATAAATGCATCTTTTTCCTTTCCTTATGCAGACTCTGTGTTCATGCTTTCTTGAATCCACAGGTTGAGTACTGTCCCAACACATCCCGATCTGCAGATGTGGAAACTCATCTTCAGCTCTCCTGGACCAGCCATTTTCTGCCAACCTTGGTGGCAAATGCTCTCTGACATCATACCTCCAACAATTGTATCTTTAATTTCTGTGGCATTCAGTGAGAAGTTCTCACTGCTAAATCTACAACCAAGTAAGACAAAGATAGGACAAATTTGGTTCAGTAAGGACATGCAAGAGGAGGGCATTACTAAGATATCTGTAGGGGGAAACTATAACACATGTCATCTTGGAAATCCTCAAAATCCTAGAGTTGAAATAAATGGGACAGTTATACAGTGTGATTCTGTTTGTGAAATTTCAGTTCCTGAACTGGTGCTAAGAGCAAACATGCCATCAGTAACACAAACTCATCAAATGTTCCAGTTGAAAGTAATTTTTTATTATTGTTATTATTATCAGCAGCAGCATCATTATCATTAGCACAAAACTAAATCCATTATTAAAAGAAAACAAAAACACAGCCCAAAGGCATGTGTCCTGCTGACAGTGAGTCAATAACTTTATCTTTGTGTACAAGGGACAGCACCCTGAGGATATACCACATCACAGCTTGATAATCAATTCAATAATTCAACCAATGTTATTGAGCACCTAGGCACAATGGAAGATTTTAAAATGCATACAAGAATCCCTGCTTTCAATGAGTTTTACAGTCTAGTAGGAGGTATTGAAGAATACAAGAACACAGGGTCACATGAGATTAGTGACATAATGGAATCAGTACCATGTATGAAATGCTGTTAGAAATGGGCATCACAGAGGCCAGGCGCAGTGGCTCACGCCTGTAATCCCAGCACTTTGGGAGGCTGACGTGGGTGGATCACCTCATGAGGTTGGGAGTTCAAGACCAGCCTGACCAACATGGAGAGACCCGATCTCTACTAAAAATACAAAATTTGCCGGGCATGGGTGGTGGGCGCCTGTAATTCCAGCTACTTGGGAGGCTAAGGCAGGAGAAGAATCACTTGAATCCGGGAGGCGGAGGTTGCATGAGCCGAGATCATGCCATTGGCACTCCAGTCTGGGCAACAAGAGCGAAACTCGGTCTCAAAAAAAAAAAAAAAAAAAAAAAAAGAAAGAAAAGAAAAAGAAAGGGGCATCACAGAGACTAATGTTAAAGAGACTAATGTCACAGAGATTAATGTCACATTCAGTTGGGGGAAATCAAGAGGCTCCATAGAGAAGGTGACCTCTGAGCTGGGCTTTGAGGAGCTGGAAGGATTTTGGTAGACTGGCACATGAAGGAGGAGCACTGCAGGTGGAAAGAATAGTGTGGGCCAAAGTATGGCCATGGGAAAGTTCATGGAATGTCTGGGGAGAGAACAAGAGTTCATTATGGCTAGTGTTTGGGGTTTATGTAAGTGGAGTGACAATATGTTGAAAGTTATATAAGGACCATATTTTGAATGGCTCTGATTTCTAAGGCTAAGATTTGTGATCTTTATGTCATAGTAACTACATTAACCACATCAACAAAATATGCAATTATCTGTGAAAAGATATGGTCACTTCACTTCCAGGTTTTTTAGGGAAACTCAAATGGTTTCTAGGCAATGTTATCACCTTGCTCTCAGAAATGTCCTAGCAGATAACACCAAGCAGACTATAGCAAATGTTTCTATTTTGCATGTAATTAAATCTCTTCTTTCAAAGTTTTATCCTTTCCATCCATGGGCCACACTTCTTCGCACTCCCATCTCCAGCCCCACTAGTTCTTGTGGCACCTGATGAGTTCACACAAGCCTAATTTGGGATTTCCAGTCACAGCTGCTACCCTGAAAGTAGGACCCACAGCCTTGAGAAGTGAGAGGTGGTGGTAGAGGCAGTGAACAATGTCATGAAAATGTAGCCATCTGAGAAGTTTTATGGAATTCCCATCCTAAGAGTCGAGCATAGTTCTTTGAAATTTGAGTTCCACTCAGTTTGGTCTGGAGGACACCTAGAGGGGCCCCAAAGCTCAAAGTGCCTAAGTAAGGTCATCTTTTTAAGTTTCCACTTATTGCCAAGGAATTATTTAAAGGAATGACACTTAATCTGGGTTACATGTTATTTAAAGGCCTCCTGGCTCTGAGGCTACTGAAGCTGTGGAGAGACTGGGGCGAACATTTCTTTTTGACTAAGGAATCCTGTTGGGCTTTGTCCTTGCTCAACAGGTTGGTAGTTGGGAACTTCTCCCATGCAATGAGTTTACAGATGCTAAAGGATGGCTGTATTAGGCAACTGAAGAAGTAAGCTATATAGAACCAACCAGGGAAGATTTAGAATAACAAAGCTGCCATGGCCACACGTTCTGCAGCTAGTCAGTCTTCAGCTCTTTCCTGGAGTGAGACTTCCTCTGCAGGAAGTCATGGATTGCCGTAGTGAGGCCCCATGTCACACTGGACCTTAGGATGACCAGAGAGCCTCCACGGTAGATCAGGAGCAGCTTTCGACCCCGAGTGTTCCACACATCCTGGGCAGAGGCCCACAGGCTTGGCATGTTCTGCCATCCAATATGGGACTGCATATTAGCAACCAGCACAATCAGAGGATACAGAACTAGGCAGGTGATTGTTCCATTGACACTACCAGACACCAAGGCAGGAACCCAGTGGGGCAGGCCTTGCTCTGCCAGGCCATCCTGGATGGGGTCCTTGAAAGAAAAATATAGAGCACTCCCCAGGCTGTTCCTGGCCAGGACAGGCCAGAAACCACGATAGTAACCCAGTGACAGCCGCCCCCAAAGCCCATAAGAGTTGAATTCCTTGAGAATGCTGAAGGTGCTGGGGAAGCGAGCTTGCTTGCGACCATCTTGGAGCACATTTTGCACCCTTTCAAAGGGACTGAGTGCCACAGCCTCCACCACGCCAGACATGAGCCCTGCAGCCCAGCGGTGTCCCAGGGTGTGTGGCCCAACAGGAGAGAGAAAGCACAGCAGGCTATCATAAGTCCCAAACAGAAGAGTCCCTTGCAACGTCTTGGAGAGAAGAGGAGGGTAGATTCCCCGGTAGAAGTATTGAGGACCTTCATGCCAAAGCTGTCTCACAGCCTCTGACACTGCCATGGCATGGATCTGTTGCCGGAACACAACCTTATAGATAGGAAAGGTCAGAAAAGTAGACATAAAGTTGGAAACGGCCCCAAGGGCGTAGGCCTGGGAATGCCAGCTTTTCTTTCCTGGAGCCTCTGCTCGTGTCCTGTGCTGAAGCTCCTTCCCGGGAGAGTCGTTCTGCTCCCCCATGCTGAAGACAACTGTGTGCAGATGGAAGAAACTGGCAAGGGTGGAAAAAAAGAGATTAGACTGACCAATTAATTCTGTTGGCAAGCATTTTCATTGCTTAATTAGAAATGAACCCTAAGAAACTCAGGTCGACGGAAACAAGCAACTCTTTGAGCCAGTTTCTGATATATAAGCACACCCTTAAGAAATAAAGAATTCATTAACTTTAAATTAAAAGAAAGGCAATGAGTTTTTCTGAACAGAGCCACCACTACAGTATTTTGCTGACACAGCAAATATTCCAATATTCAAAGGATTACAACGGGAAAACATGAAATAGAGGAGGGGAAGACTCCAAAACTTAATGCATCAACTTTCATGACATGAAACTGCATTTTATAAACTACTTTGATAATACATTACTATTCTCTTTTTTAAAAAATCTGGCACTATCTTGTAGCGGCAGAAAGGCATTTAACAGTTGAAGTGCAATGCTTTCTCTAAAAGTTGGTATTAAATTTGGGGAGGGGGAATCTCCCCTCGCCTTTCTCTCCATAGATTCCTGCCCAAGTTGTAGCTGTTTCATGGCAACGCCCAGCCCCCCTCTAGCGAGTGAGGAAAGGAAAGAGCAGCTGCTTCTGGAAGTTCAGTGCCTAAAGACTCAGCACCTGGCAACTTCTAAGCCTAATCTTGAAGACCTGTAGCTATATAATAGAGCAAGGTTTCTTAACCTCGGTGCTATTGACATTTTGGGCAGGATAATTTTTTATTCTTGGCACCTGTCCTGTGCATTGGAGGATGTTCAGAGGCTCCCTGGCTTTGGCTCAGTGCGTGCCAGTAGCACTAGTGGTGACTTACACAGTGTGATGACCAAAAATATCTTGAGACCTTGCCAAATGTCCCCTGGGAGGCAAAACCTGGCTTAGAACCACTGTACTAGATAGAATAGGCAGTGCAAGGACCCCAAACTATTGCTCCTTACCCCAGAAAGGCCAGGAAGCAGATGGCTAGTATGAGAAGCAATTTGGAAGCCAGGACATATGAAGGAACTTTGGGATCTAAAGAAAAAATGAATGCTCAGTGCAGATCTGAGGGAGTTTGCCGGGGAGGAAAGAGGGGTTCCCTGGGCTGACGAGACAGGGAGTACAGTAGCCAGAGCTGCCACCTCAGGGAAAGGAGCACAGAGATGTGTGAGTGTGGGGCAGGAGGACAGGGGAGAGGGGGAGGGGCATGATGGCCAGGATGGAGGGCTTCCATCTACAGTGACAGGGACAAGAAGTCTGGCAGGATCTGCAGACCCACAAGTTTCATACAGAACCCTGGGCTATGTGGTGGGGGGCATGAAGGTTGGGACTCTAATTAAGCTAGCAGGCTGATGGGGGACCAGAGAGTCCAGGCTGAGGTCCCCAGGGAGGAGTAGAAGCCACACACTGCAAGAAGCCCAATGCAGCCTTCCCGAGGCTGCCAGGCCAAGAATCCGCCTTGGCATACTATTCCTTCCAGAATCACTCCCATCAGCTCTGCTCTTCTCTAGCCCCTTCTCCCTGCTCCATCCATCTCCCCACAATCCCATTCCTATCCCCACTGCTCCATCCATATCCCCATAATCTCATTCTATACCCCCTGCTCCATCCATATCCCCACAATCTCATTCCTATCCCCCTGCTCCATCCACATCCCCACAATCTCATTCATAATCCCACCCTGTTCCATCCATATCCCCACATTCTCATTCCTATCCCCTTTGCTCCATCCATTTTGTCACAATCTTACTTTACCACCACTTCCCTCCCATGGAGCCACACTCACCTCTTGGTGGAGGGAGATGGAGGCTCAGCCTCCTGTACTCTGCCCATCACCACTTCCCCCTACCCCCACATTCCATGATGGCCTTAAGCCTCAGCCTCCTTTACCCTCATAGCCAGTACACTGGGAGGGCCCCTCTGCCTCTGACCCTTTAGCTGAGAACAGAGCAGGAGTAAAAGCTCAAGAGGCCCACTATTTGCATCCCTTTAGGCCACCTCTGGCCCCTGGCAGCCCCACTTCCATTTCTCCAGAGCCAAAGGGGACTCCTCCCAGATACTCAGGCCGCTAAATCCACAGAAGCCCCCAACAGTCCTCAGCTCTCCTACTAAAGATCTTCTTTCCAAAGTCTTACCTTCACCTAAATAAGGACAGGTGGTGAGGTAAATATTTGTCCTTTCTTCTACCTCAGAGTGCAATAATGTTCCATTTCCTCCCTACCATTTATAAACGTGTTCACTGACACCATGAGGCAGGATGATTTAGCAGAAAGAAAACTGGGCTAGGATTTGGCAGTACAAGGATTCCCAACTATTGCACCTACCCCAGAAAGGCCAGGAAGCAGGTGGGGTAATATGAGATAACTAGCATTCTAAGTGAGTTTTGTTATTAACTTGATGTGTGACCTTTAGAAGTTCAATGACATCTTGGAGCCTTACCCACCTGAGACGTAAATGGAGCAGAAAGGGCAAAATAATTTTTAGTCATCTCCATACTGTATCTGTCAGAGGGTGTTGATATGGGGGGCACTCAGGTCAATAGTTGATAGAGGGATTGTACTTTTCAATTCCCAACTCCTGCCATTTTTGTAAATCATTTTGAGGGATTAAAGGTGAACAATAATTGAGAAACATCTAACTTTAATATGTAATCCATTTTATAAATCCAATCCTTTCCATTTTATGGGAGGGGAGTTCGTGTTTCTCCAATGTATTTTCTGTTAAGATGCCAGGCTTTCGAAAGGGCAGACAGACCTGAGACTGAATTCTGCCTCTGCCACTTACTTAGTTGTGTGACCTTGAACAAGACATTTCATTCAGTCTCAGGTTCTTCAGCTACAAAACAGGGATATTAGGATCCACCTCAAAACGTTGTGGCAGAGATTAATAACATGAAATGAGAGAAAGTGGTTGAGAAGCCATAACATGGTGGCCTTGATAAGAAGTATCAAAACAAAAATGCTTCTGGACTTCAGTATCTGTGTCCACAGAACACATGCTCCTTCTGGACGCTCTCAGGACAACCATAACCAGACACAGGGGCATTTGGGAACAAATCTTCTGTTCCCAAGGGAGGCAGGGAAGCCCTTACTTCCACGAATGGGAAGGCGCAGCATAAGCAATCTAGGAGAGCCTGGCCCCTTCACATGAATTCAAAGTATAGACCACAGAATGGACCTAGAGTTGGCCTTAAGCAGATATCATCTGTACCCTATGACCTGCCTCCTATGTTTACAGCCTAGTAAAATGAGCCCAGAGGATTCCAGACTTTCCCCGCCAGTCTAGTCCACATGGGTAGCCTGTGTGACTGCCCCAGGATCCAGCCACAAATGAACGTATTTGTCTGTTCATTCAGGGTATCTCTCAGCCAGTCCTTTGGTCAGCTCACAAACATGTATTGATCATCCACTAAATCATTGCGGGTAAACCACCATGGAGCTAGAGTGAATAGAATTTCGTGCCTGCCCTCAAGTGCCTGGAATCTAGCAGGGGAGACAGGTCAACAATGAGCTAAACTCTACAGAAAAACAAAATAAAGGGTACACTAATGAAGGTGGAAGCAAAAAGACAAGAGCAATTTATTCTACCTGAGAAGGGGCACATGACTCAATCCTTAACTGAGTAGAATAGAATATGCTATTGTTAGGTAGGGGAGTAAGGGCAAGCATTCTAGGCTGAGGAAGTGGCCTAAGGCACATAGGCTTAGAAGTGTGAGTTGTACATGGGGCTGGCCTATCCCATGTGGTGAGAAGGAAATAGAACTGTGGTTGACAGAGAGGAGCCCATTTAAGATGAGGACCACATTTGTCTTCCCCACTGCATTGTGCTGTAGGGCACAGACATGGGCTCTGGATTCAGCCAGCCCTGGGTTTGAATTTCACTCTGTCACTTCCTAGCTTTATAACCTTGGCCAAGTTTCATCATCTTGCTGATCCTCAGTATCCTTATATGTAAAATGATTGTCATGAAGGATGCATGAGACAAAGTACAGAAAGTGCTTAGCATAGCACCTGGTATATAAGTTGCTCCATAAGTTATATTAGTAGTTTCATTTTTAAAAAATGAGATCAGGTAATTTATAGATTCAATGCCATCACCATTAAGCTACCAATGACTTTCTTCACAGAATTGGAAAAAACTGCTTTAAAGTTCATATGGAGCCAAAAAAGACCCCACATTGCCAAGACCATCCTAAGCCAAAAGAACAAAGCTGGAGGCATCATGCTACCTGACTTCAAACTATACTACAAGGCTACAGTAACCAAAACAGCATGGTACTGGTACCAAAACAGAGATATAGACCAATGGAACAGAACAGAGCCCTCAGAAATAATACCACACATCTACAGCCATCTGATCTTTGACAAACCTGAGAAAAACAAGAAATGGGGAAAGGATTCCCTATTTAATAAATGGTGCTGGGAAAATTGGCTAGCCATAAGTAGAAAGCTGAATCTGGATCTTTTCCTTACTCCTTATACGAAAATTAATTCAAGATCGATTAGAGACTTAAATGTTAGACCTAAAACCATAAAAACCCTAGAAGAAAATCTAGGTAATACCATTCAGGACATAGGCATGGGCAAGGACTTCCTTTCTAAAACACCAAAAGCAATGGCAATAAAAGCCAAAATTGACAAATGGGATCTAATTAAACTAAAGAGCTTCTGCACAGCAAAAGAAACTACCATCAGAGTGAACAGGCAACCTACAGAATGGGAGAAAGTTTTTGCAATCTACCCATCTGACAAAGGGCTAATATCCAGAACCTACAGAGAACTCAAACAAATTGACAAGAAAAAAACAACCCCCATCAAAAAGTGGGCAAAGGGTATGAATAGACACTTCTCAAAAGAAGACATTCATACAGCCAACAGACACATGAAAAAATGCTCATCATCACTCGCCATCAGAGAAATGCAAATCAAAACCACAATGAGATACCATCTCACACCAGTTAGAATGGCAATCATTAAAAAATCAGGAAACAACAGGTGCTGGAGAGGATGTGGAAAAATAGGAACACTTTTACACTGTTGGTGGGACTGTAAACTAGTTCAACCATTGTGGAAAACAGTGTGGCGATTCCTCAAGGATCTAGAACTAGAAATACCATTTGACCCAGCCATCCCATTACTGGGGATATATGCAAAGGATTATAAGTCATGCTGCTATAAAGACACATGCACATGTATGTTTATTGCAGCACTATTCACAATAGCAAAGACTTGGAATCAACCCAAATATCCATCAGTGACAGACTGGATTAAGAAAATGTGGCACATATACACCATGGAATACTATGCAGCCATAAAAAAGGATGAGTTCGTGTCCTTTGTTGGGACATGGATGCAGCTGGAAACCATCATTCTCAGCAAACTATCACAAGAACAGAAAACCAAATACCGCATGTTCTCACTCATAGGTGGGAATTGAACAATGAGATCACTTGGACACAGGAAGGGGAGCATCACACACCAGGTCCTATTGTGGGGAGGGGGTAGGGGGAAGGGATAGCATTAGGAGATATACCTAATGTAAAGGACGAGTTAATGGGTGCAGCACACCAGCATGGCACATGTATACATATGTAACAAACCTGCACGTTGTGCATTTGTACCCTAGAACTTAAAGTATAATAAAATATATATATATATACAATTTTAAAAGTCAAAAAAATTAGATAATAGGAATAAAGGCACGATTACAATTAAATTGTTCTAAAGGCTGCAATTGGTCTAATGAACTGGGTCATCTGCAGAATGCATTTTGGACTGCTTGTTTGGAAGGCAGCAAAGAAGAGTTTTTATGGGCTTTGGTGTTTGACATCCCTGGCCTGCAGTCTCAGTGCCTCCACTTACAAGTTGTGAAGCCTAACACAAGTTACGTAACATCCCTGAAATTCAGTTTCCCTGTCTGCAAAATGGGATACAATGGCTGTCTCAACAGGGTTACTGAGAAGCTTAAAAGAGATAACAGATAGAAAGTTCCTGGCACAAAGGAGGCAGGCAGCCAAAGGCAGCTATTATTGTTTCAGCTGAAAGCTTTATCTCCAAACCTTCAAGCCTTTAAGGTTTATTTTCTGAAATTAGAAAATGTGGTCTCATTAGAGCCATCAGTTGGAACACACTCATATACATGAGGCCAGAGATAGGATATCCTGTATCCAACTGGAGCCAGGTTGCTAATATTCCCCCCATCCCTGCATGAAGAGTCCCTTGCTTTGTTCTAGTAGCCCAACCCTGGCCACTTTACACAATCCATTTCCTGTCATTATTTTTGTCAGAGCTCTGAGACCTATTCTTGGTCTTATGTGATTCCATCCCTACCAAGTCCAGCTGCAAATACCTAATTTGGTGATGAAGCCAATTTAAACACTGAACAAGAGTCTTCTGGGAGGCAAGAGTCAGATGTCATGGGACAGGGGAGCAGAAGCAAAAGTCTGAAGGAAACCTAAGAGCTACTGCCAGCATCACCCCTGAGTGTGCAAGGTGAGCAACCTGCCTTATCCATACATCCACACTTTCCACCCTCCACCACCACTACCCCACTGTTCCATCCACAGGCCGTGATCCTGAGATGGAAGGTGCTTTATCTCCAAATTTATATTGTTTACTCCAAGGGACTCTAGATCTTGGGGTTGTAAATAAGAGGGTGGAAAGGAGCAAGTGAAGTACCTTGGCAGACTGAAGATGAAGCCAAGAAGGGCATCAGACTGTTTACTTGCTTCTAAACATCAGGAGTCAAGAACAGGCCCCACAGGAGCCTCCTAGCCACACTATACATAAAGGAAGTAATACCTGCTCTCTAAGTCAGGGAAAAATGGAGCAGGTTTTCCAGCCACTGCCTTCATGGCCATTCACTTTGGACAACCCTGCATGCCGTTTCCATGGAGTTGCTCCTTCTCTGGGGCCAGTGATGCCAAATCCAGCAAAGGAGAAGTCCCCTGAAGAGCTCTAGAAGGGCAACCTAGCAACCTGTCCTTGAGCCAGGAAATGAAAGAGCTATATCAGCAACAGAGAGCTGTGGTTTGGGGGTTAGGTTAAATGGGGTTTTATTTCTCACACTTCTTCGTCAAGCATGGCTTGAAGAAGGAAGATGTTATGACAGACCCATTTGAAAATCTGCAAAGCTGTGGACTCAGAAGAATGTACAGAGTCCAGATTCTTTGCATACAATTCCAGGAAGGATCGCGGGTAGGAACCTGTGCTCTGGAGTTACATTTCATGACAGATATGCCATGGACAGATACACTGATGACAGGCCCATTTACTCATAACCTTCAGCATCACGTGGTGGTGTTTAGAACAGTGGTTCACGAATCTCTCTACACCTCAGAATCAACTACAGGGCTGGTTAAAACTACAAATCACACTCTTCATGCCTAGTCCTAGTACATCAAAATCCCCCAGGGGTAAGGCCCAATAAGCTGCATTTATAACAAGCTCTCCAAAATGGTTCGGAGGCAGCCCACCTTGTACTCACACTTTGGTTAATAGCATGAGTTCTGGATTCAGAGACTTGGTTCAAATTTTGGCTTCACCTTGTATTTTCAGATAAATCATTTTACCTCTCTGAGCCTGGCCTCTTTGGGGTCACAAAGGGCTGTAGAAATAATGTTGCTTTTAAAAAACAGGCAGCTTGTGTTAAAAAAACAAAAAAGCAAAAGAAAAAAAAGAAAAAAAAGATTAATAATAATAATAAAAAGAAACAAGAAAGAAAAGTGTCAAAAAGAGTTTCCTCTTCTGTACAATGGGTGCCATAAAGGTTGCCTTCATCTTCCCTCAGCCCTGTACCCACTACCTCCTCACCCCCTCCCTCAGCACTATCATCACATTGAGACTGCTGTTGAGATGGTTTGAGACTACCTGTGCAAAAATACTCTACAGGCAGCGCTGCAGGGCAAAGAATTAGCATCTAGAGATCAACATACAGGTGCTAGGTTGGATGCTGTAACTTATTTGCTGCAGGATACAGGCCAAAACGAGTAACCTCTCTCTCTCTGGCTCAGTTTCTTCATCTGTGAAATGGAGATAACGGTTCTTGCTCACCAATTCTATGCAATCCCAAGTTGGTCCTCCCATCCTGGCCTTGGTTTTTCTCCACTATCCCTTAATCTGATGGAACAGAGGAGTGTTGGCAAGGGGCAGCCTTTGAAGTCAGACATGTTGACTTGAGTGTCAGCTCTTAGCTCTGCACTTCCTAACTGTACTGCCTGGGTGCTTCAGTCCTTTCCTGTTAAATGGGTACGCTGCTACCTCCTTCACACGGCTGCTGAGAAGAGGAAAGGAGATGTCCATGCAGGCGCCTCTGCACACAAAAAGCACTCAGTAAACGCTGTTTCCCCCCTTCCGCCTATACAAAGGTGAGGAACTCTCATTGTTCACTTGGTTTCTGTCCCACCTCGTGTTTAAGGCATCCGGTCTCAAAGCCGGGAGGAGAGCCGAGGTGGAAGGGGATAGGGAGAAGGGAAGCGATGGGGTAGCAGCAAACTCACGGATGAAAGGGAAATGGGCCCAGTCCGTGCTTCCGAGCTGCACTTAACGCCGTGCCGGCTCCCGCGCCTGTCTGCCGCAGCCCCCGCCCTCCCGCACCCCCTTCTTGCTAGCAGTAGCTTCGGGGCCGGAGGCTGCGCGGGGAGGCCGCCCCCTCGCCCCGCTGATTGGCCGCGTCGCCCGGCTCGTCACGCTCTTTTGTCTCAATGGGCAGAGACTGAAAGCAACCGCTGCTGCCCGGAGGGCCGAACTAGAGGGTGGGCGCAGCCTTGGCTGCCTTGGGAACCGCGCTGCCTCAACTCGGCTACCCCTTGCTGGGCGGTCATGCGAAGCACTCGCTAGGTCTGGCAGCCCCGGGTCGCTTAGCGGCCGAGGAGGCGCCAGAGATACCGTTCCCCTGCAGAGCTACGGGGACCGGAAGGCGAAACAGAGCTGTCGACGCGGGAGCACATGCTGCCTACCAGTGGAGCGCAGGTAAAGAAAGAGCGCGCGATTGCCCGGCTCGGAGAGGGGTGGGGGAAGCCCCGCCAGGACTGGGCGGCGCCTGGCTGGGAGAATCAGTAACTGCGAGGCAGGGGATGGAGCACTCCCTTGGCCTGGTTGCGCTGTGGAAGGAGTTGTGGTTCATCTGTATGCTGCCAACTGGGTAGGATTTAGTATTTGCCTGGATTAAGGTGGGTCGGGGTGTTGTCGGAGATCGGGGGTGTTGTCGGGCATCGGGGGTGGGGGGGTGTTCGGGGAGGTGGCAAGGGGCGGGAGGAGACGATCGCAAGCTTTCTTGAACCCCTTTTGCATCTCCTCCTCTCTTCCTGGGAAGGAATATGGGGGTGGGAGGTTATCCAACTTCCAGTCTCTTTCTCCCTGGCAGGTCATCAAAGCCAAATCCGAACTTGGATTCTGTGCGGCGGATTGCAGAGCTGGTAGGGCGAGGGTCTCCCGGAGGAAATATAAGGCGGGGTGCGGGGGAGGGGGGGGGCAGGAGGCACTTTGGCTTGCGTTCAGAAGATGGGAGAGGGAATTTTCCGCCTGGCGACAGTGAAGCTGGTGGAGAGGAGGTATCAGGTTTTCAGATGAAGCTGCTTCCAATCCTTCCTTTCCCTCCTTCGCGTCACAGTCTTGAGGCCCTGAGGACTGGGACCTGCGACCCCCAGTGGACAAAAGTCGGCTCTACCCCAGAGGTTAATTTTCTCACGGCAGGCACCTGTTGCAGAGGCTGCACGTAAAATAAAGGCGAACGCTAGTTTCCGAGTTCATGTAAGAATCTGAGAAATAACGGGGGAAACGTTGACAAGGGGATGTGATTGAGACCTGAGGCCATGAGGTTAATGGTTTCTTATTACCATAAATCTGTGACCCACAACCATTGAGTTCCGTTTTAAGGGCCCAGTATAAGCTCCAAACACTATGTCATCTAGAATTAGAAGCAACAGTTGTCGCCCCTCCTGGAGTACAGGCAGGAGTGGATGGATGTGGCTCTGAAAAACTACCTACTAGTCCAAGGAAACCTGCTAGCTCTGGAATGTTGTCATTGCCAGTCTCCTGCAGGGTATTGTTAAGGCATTGGGCAGATATAAAATGCACTACAACGTTATTCAGGAAAATCGAGAATGCTACTACAGACTGCTTCCCCACAGCCCACTATCTTATTAACCGTTTTTATTTTCCTTAGAATCCCTACTGAAATACAAGGCAGGCACAGCGCATGAACGTTGCTTTGGAGAATCCTGCAGATAAGGCTTTTCCAAAAAGCGCGAGTACCTTGTTGTATTCAGATACCCTATCGTCGTCAGTCATGGCTAGCATCATTGCGCGTGTGGGTAACAGCAGGCAGCAGAATGCACCTTTGCCGCCTTGGGCCCATTCCATGTTGAGGTCTCTGGGGAGGAGTCTCGGTCCTTTCGTGGTCAACATGGCAGAGAGAAACATGAAGTTGTTCTCGGGGAGAGTGGTGCCAGCCCAGAGGAAAGAAACCTTTGAAAACTGGCTGATCCAAGTCAGTGGGGTCCTGCCAGATTGGAGTATGTCTGAGGAGGAAAAACTCAAGCGCTTGATGAAAACACTTAGGGGCCCTACCCGGGAGGTCATGCGTTTGCTTCAGGCGGCCAACCCCAACCTAAGTGTAGCAGATTTCTTGCGGGCCATGAAATTGGTGTTTGGGGAGTTTGAAAGCAGTGTGACTGCCCATGGTAAATTTGTTAACACCCTGCAGGCACAAGGGGAGAAAGCCTCCCTTTATGTGATCCGTTAAGAGTTGCAGCTCCAGAATGCTATTCAGGCTGGCATCCTAGCTGAGAAAGATGCAAACCAGACTGGCTTGCAACGGCTTCTTTTAGGCACCTAGCTGAATAGGGACCTGTGCTTCAGGCTTAAAATTAAGCATCTTCTCAGGATGTATGCAAATGTGCAGGAGCGACTTCCCAATTTCCTGGAGTTAATCAAGATGATAAGGGAGGAAGAGGATTGGGATGATGCTTTTATTAAACGGAAGCGGCCGAAAAGGTCTGGGCCAATAATAGAGAAGGCAGCCAGCCCTGTGGCATTTCAGGGTGCCCAGCCAATAACAATCGGCAGTGCTAACTGTAACTGCAACGTGATAGAAATAGATGATACCCTTGATGACTCCGATGAGGATGTGATCCTGGTGGTGTCTCTGGACCCTTCACTGACACCCACAGGTGTCCCTCCCTTCAGAGGAAGAGCCAGACCTCTGGATCAAGTGCTGGTTATTGATTCCCCCAACAATTCTGGGGCTCAGTCTCTTTCTACCAGTGGTGGTTCTGGGTATAAGAATGATGGTCCTGGGAATATTTGTAGAGCCAGGAAGCGAAAATACACAATCTGCTGTTCATATTGTGGTGAGGAGGGCCACTCAGAAGAAACCTGTGACAACGAGAGCAACAAGGTCCAGGTTTTGAGAATCTGATCATCACCCTGCAGGAGCTGACACATACAGAGGACAGGTCAAAAGACGTCCCTGGAGAACACAGTGATGCTTTTGAGCCACAGTAAGGATCTAGACCCAGCCCTAAATGAGTTCTTAACTGTATTCGGATTAATGGGAATAACAAGAGAGGAGGGTGGGTTTCTAACTGCATGAATCCACAAAGCAGTTTTCCTTTGGGAAAGAGAAGAGGTCTTGCATACCAGCACAGTGGAGGGGAATGGTGTGACCTCTGTCCCTGCTCCCTTCTCTGCCGGCTTAAGAGTCTGTTCTCCATGTGTCTATTTCTTTGATGACTTTCTACTTTTTATGAAAGGAGCATCTTTTCAATAAACCTTCAAAAATAAAGGAAGATACAAAAACTAAAGTACAAATTACCTGAAACTCAGCACCCTTTTGTAACCATTGTCAGCCCTTTGGTGAATGTCCTTCCAGATATCTCCCTGTACCTGTGTACCCAGATAGATACATGTATAGATAAGAGTGATCAAATATAAATGCTGTTCTATACTGTGTATTTTTCACCAAATAATATATCTTGTGGACTTCTATGTCAATGAATATATATAAACATCTTATTTCATATCTCTGTGTGATGTTACTTTTAGAAAGATAAAGAAAAATGAAACTAAATATAGAAGCTATAAGTGGGGGTCATACTAGGAGGATGGGTTTTTATCAACCTCATTTATAGGAAAGGAGAAAGGAAACTGAAATGGACTGAATATCTCCCATACAACCCCTTAACACAACTGACCTGTCTCCTAGGTCATAGAGCCAACTCCTGTACCCATGAGTTAATAATGTTCCAATGTTTTCTTCTTGAACATATCATGAGACACCAGATGGGGAACAGCAGGGACAAAAATTGAAAATGGGTATTCCAGAGGCTCCATGCCTGTTTGTATTGGGAAGGGACAACTACTCCTGCCCCATCTCTTGACCTCAGATTAGAGGGTGATAAAAGATGACATGTGACCTCTATCCCCGAGGGTCCCAACTTTCTTGTAGGTACAGTAGTCACTATCCTCACAAAGAGGTCAAGACTGGCAAGGTGCAGGGAGGAATGATTTCATTTAAGGCAGGGAGTGGAGTGAAATGAATGCAGACCTGAGGACCTGAGGGAGTTTGCCTGGGAGGAAAGAGGGGGCCCCTGGGCTGACGAGACAGGGTGTGCAGCAGCCAGAGCTGGCACCTCAGGGAAAGGAGCACAGAGCTATGTAGGTGGAGGACAGAAGGACAGGGGGAGAGGGGAAGGCGTATGATGGCCAGGCTGGTGGGCTCCCATCTACAGTGACAGGGACAAGAGGCCTGGCAGAAACTGCAGACCCACAGGTTTCACACAGAACCCTGGGCTATGTGGTGGGAGGAGTGGAGGTTGGGACTCTAATTAGGCTAGCAGACTGATGGGGGACAAAAGGGTCTAGGCTGAGGCCCCCAGGGAGGAGTAGAAGCCACACACTGCAAGGAGCCCAATGCAGCCTTCCCAGGGCTGCCAGGCCCAGAATCTGCCTTGGAGTGCTCTCCTTCCAGAATCACCCCCAACTCTGCTCTTCCCTGGTCCCTTTCTCTTGCTTCATCCACATCCCCATAATCCCATTCCTATCCCCACTGCTCCATCCATATCCCCACAATCTCATTCCTATCCTCACTGTTCCATCCATGTCCCCACAATCTCATTCCTATCACCCTGCTCCATCCATATCCCCACAATCACATTCCTATCCCCTCTGCTCAATCCATGTCCTCACAGTCTCATTCATACCCGCCCTGCTCCATTCATATCCCCACAATCCCATTCAGTTCCCTCTGCTCCATGCATATCCTCACAATCTCATTCAGATCCTTCCTGCTCCATCTGTATCCTCAGTCTCATTCCTATCCCCCTGTTCCACCCATATCCCCACAATCTCATTCAGATCCCCCCTACTCCATGCATATCCCCACAGTCTCATTCAGATCCCCCCTCCTTCATCCATATCCCCGCAGTCTCATTCAGATCCCCCTGCCCCATCCATATCCCCACAATCTCATTCATATCCCCCCTGCTCCATCCATATCCCCACAGTCTCATTCAGATCCCCCTGCTTCATCCATAGCCCCGCAATCTCATTCCTATCCCCCTTGCTCCATCCATTTTCTCACAATTGCACTTTACCACCACTCCCCTTCCCTGGAGCCACACTCACCTCTTGGTGGGGGGAGATGGAGGCTCAGCCTCATGTGCTCTGCCCATCATTACCTCCCCCTCCTCCGCATTCCATGATGGCCTTAAGCCTCAGCCTCCTTAATGCTCATGTCCAGTAGACTGGGAGGGCCCCTCTGCCTCTGACCTTTTAGCTGAGAACTGAGCAGGAGTAAAGGTTCAAGAGACCCACTTTTTACATCCATCTGGGGCACCTCTGGCCCCTGGCAGCCACCTCCATCTCACCACAGGCGAAGAGGAACCCACCACCCAGGCAGGAGGCAGCTTCATCAAGCCCCCAAAGCCACAGGGTCCCCCAACACTACCTGGCTCTTACAGCCCCTTATTCCTTCCTACCTCTCCTGCAATCTATCCTTGGAGGGGATTTGCCCACTCATCTCTCCAAGATTAGAATATAGTTCCACTTCCTGCTCACCTTTTCTCAAATTCAATCTATAAATGCTATTGAATGATTTACCTAGATATGCTGTCATGATTTCTTTCTGAAACCAGGTAGAGTGAAAAGAGGAGTAAATGCTACACCCACCCCCACCCTCCTTTTCACTGGAGTTATCTTGGAGGTTCAAGATCATTACTTTGAAACCCTGCTCTGTAATTCATCCCCTTTCCTTCCCCCCTCATCCTGTCCTCTGTTGTGTAAACCTGAAACTGTCTAAATTTTTACTTCACCAAAATGATGCAAAAGTGATACTTTTTATTTCATTTTGTGTCACACTGGCTTTCCTTTATTCAAGAAGTATGTATTTTCCCCAATTGGAAGACATAGAAGACTTGGAGTGATCACAGGGTTAAGTGAAAGGCTTTTAGAAAATTTTGTGTTCAATACCCTTCATTTATAATTATTGTTTTTTCCTTTCCTTTCTCCCTTCATTCTCATTAGTCGCTAAGAGATGAAAATTGCTCTTTTGTCTTGTCAGGAGACACCAGCCTTTGAATGACCTCCTTTTGCATTATCTCCCTCCTTCTTGATACTATTTTCCCTTGTTTCCATGACATCATCTCACGGTTTCCCTCTCCCAGATCTTTTTGGTGCCTACTTCTCAGTCTCTTTTGCTGAATATTCTTTCCCTTCCTGATCCTTCTGCAATAGCAATAAAAATTAAAATCACTGCAAGTGCGATTTATTCCAAGCTTATTACATGCCAGGCACCCAGTGCCAAACCTTTAAAACGCATAATTAGCTTTTCATAGCAACTCCCTCAAGATAAGTATTACTTTCTATTTCTAATTTGCTACTAATTTAATTACTATTAATTGACACATATTTCAGATGATGAAACAGGCCGGGAAGTTAGAAAACGTACTTAGGGTCATGTAGTTATTTAGTGGTACAGTCAAGGATAAGACACTGGACTGACTGACCCCCAAGTCTGTGTTCCTTACTTGAGTTAGCCCTCATGTGCACAGGACCCTATGAGGTTGGTGTTATGATTATATAGAGATGATACGTGAGGAAAGCAAGGTCAACAGATATAATTAGCCAAACGTCATAGCAGCAAGTGGCTTGTGCGCCATACACAAGGATGCAGCCTTTAAAGAATACTTGTTTGACACAGGCTTTTTCCACCTTTCTTTCACATTCTTTCCTTGCTGCAGCTATCCCTCCTGCTGCCTGGCAACCATCCCCTCTCCCTTCAGAGTTGCATTATCACATTCAGTTCAGGTATCAAAGTTTCCAGTCTATGCTTTTGGTGCAAATGGTTTTGAATTTGAAGTATGCAAGAGGAGACAGCTGCAACAGTGAGTGGAAGAGAGATAAATTGTTCAATTTGTGGTGCTGGGGAGAACTTCATTACCTGATTGGAAAAAAGGCCAGTTTCCTTTCTCCCATGACACTAAATATGAATCCCAGACACATTTGAGAAGTAAATGTAGATTTTATGCAATTATGTACTAATCATATATTTTTTCATATATTTTTAATCATATATTTTGTTGTTATAAAATGAATAAAAAGAATCAAATGTTCAAAAGCAACCCCTTTGAAAGCTGCAACACAATACATGTTAAATCTCTGGGTTGGAGAGAACTTTCTATGGTTAAGACTAATGAAAGAAAGTATAAAGGAAAAGATCAATAATTCAGAAGACAGCATTAACAAAAATACCAACAGTAAGCTGAGAAACACTGGCAACAAATATGATGGACAGGGGGCAGGGTTGGCAACAAATAAGAGAAGCAATAATAACAACAAATCTGTACTGTGTTTAGACAGTTAACATTTATTAAGGTCTTACAAAGTGCCAGGCATATTCTACAAGCTCTACATGGCTTTATCCTTCATCCCATTCTTACAACAAGTCCTGAGATAAATCTTATTTTAAAATTTCCACATTCTAAAACACTCTAATGGGGGGGGGCGGTTGGGGCGGAGGGAAGTGCATAAAATATAAATTTACAACTTAACAAATTATTATAGAGCAAATCACCATAAAGATCAAGAAACAGAACACACCAGAACTCCAGAAATTCCTGTAGGTCCTTGCCCAATCACAACCTCTTTCCTCTCTCCCAAACCAAACCAAACAAAACACTCTCATGACAGTTTTGGCTATTGCTTTCTTACTTTTCTTTATAGCTTTACCACTCAAATATAGATGCCCAAACACTATTGTTTCTTGAGCTTTATATAAATAGAACCATAATGCATATATCCTTCTGTATCCAGCTCATTGCCCTTACAATTATGCTTCTGAGATTCAACCTGGTTGCATGTGGCATTGGTTCATCATTCTCAGTACTGTGTTACAGCTTTCCATTCTATGACTTTACAAGAATTTATCCTTTTACTGTCGATGGACATTTGGGCTGTTTCCAGTTTGGGACAATTATGAAAACTGTTGCTAAGAACATGTTTTTAATGTTTCCTGGTACATATGTGCACACACAACGTATATATGTAGGAGAGGAATTGCTGGCTCATAGATTATGTATATTTTCAACTTCACTAGACACCACCAAACTGTATACCAAAGTTGCACCAATTCCCACTTCCACCATCAGTGTTTGAGAGTTCCTGTTGCTCCACATTCTCACAAACACTTGACACTGTCAACAAAGCTTCATAACTTTTGCTTCAGGTTTTGTATGTCTATTATTACATTTCGTTCAAGGTAATTGTGTATGCTACTATAAATTAAATATTGGTTTAAATTTCATTTTCTAAGTGCTTATTGATGGTGTATAGAAATATAACTGGTATTTTGATGTTGATATTGTATACTGACTTTGCTAGTCTCTCTTAATAATTTTAATCTGTAGCTTCCTTAGAATTTTTCTGCATACACAAGCACATCATCTGTGAATGATGGCAGTTTTATTTCTTCTTTACCAATCCATATACATTTCTTTTTCTTACCTTACTGCATTGACTGGGACCTAGAGTACAAGAAGTAGTGAGAAGAGACATTCTTGTCTTATTCCTGAACTCAAGGGGACCACTTTGAACAATTCAACGTTAAGTGGATGCTTGCTGCAGGTTTTTAGTAAATACCACTTATCAGTTTAAAAATGTTTCTTTCCATTCCTAATTTACCATGTTTTTAAAATAATCAATGGATGCTGAATTTTATGAAATGCTTTTTCTGTATCTATTAAGATTATCATATGCTTCTTTCTCATTTATTAGGTAAAATGCTAAATTACATTATTTGTGTTTCTAATAGTAAACCAACCAGGCATTCCTGGAATAAACAAGATTTTGTCCTGATTTATTACAATTGTTATATATTGCTGGATTCAATTTGCTAATATTTTGTTTAGGATTTTTAGATCTATGTCTGTAAGAGAGAGTCACCTATAATTTTTCTCTCTGTATAATGTCTTTGTGAGATTTTGGTATCAAAGTTTTGCTGGTCTCCTAAAACTAGTTGAGGAATACAATTCTCCTTTGGCTTTCTTCATTTAAAAACCAGGCAACTGAGGTCCAAGGTGTTTAGATTATTTTTCATAACTGCATTAAATCCAATTATTTACTTGTATCCATGATTTATTAAGCCAGCCTCTTTAGTGCTAGTCATTACCTTGTTTCCATTGTTTCACTGTTATAAACCCACTGAGAACAGCATCCTTATTCACATACAAGTTTGTACATGTGAACAATTATTTCCTGAGGATACATTCCTAGAGGTGATGTTGCTGGAACAAGCACTATGTTTCACAGGAACCAGAGCAGAAAGAGAGGTGGCCTGTGGCACATCCTACTTTAGTAGCTCTGGCTCACATTCAGGGCCCTTCCTCATCTCTTAACTTGCTGGGAATACCCTTTAACTCTGAGCTACTAGAGACTTTAATACTTAACAATATTTAAAGGTCAATTCAGCTCTAAGAAACTCTCCAAATTAAGTTTTCAAATGATTTGGCAGGAGGAGGGGGTTGTTTTTAACATTTTCAATGGAACTTTCCAAACCCACATGAAATTATAGAAAATGAATGATGAATCTCCATGTACCCATCACTCAGCTTCAAGAATTATCAATATGTTGCATAACTTGTCTCATCTATAGTCCCCCACATTTTGATGAAGTATTTTAAAGCAATTACTGGATATCACATCAAATGGTATGATTCATATATATGTGTGTGTGTGTGTGTATATATATATAGACAGAGAGAGAGAGAGAGAGAGAGAGAGAGAGAGAGCAATCGCACTCTGTTGCCCAGGCTGGTCTCAAATTCCTGGCCTCAAGTGATCCTCCCGCCTTGGTCTCCCAAAGTGTTGGGATTACAGGTGTGAACCACCATCCCTGGCCTGATTCTTCTGTATTCTACCCATGGTTCTATCTCCCCTTTTTGTTCCAGAATTTTTATTGGGGTAAAAGTTACAAAAAAATTCACCATTTTGACCATTTTAAAGTGTACAATTCAGTGGCATTTAGTACACATTCCAAATATTTTTTATTTGTAAATTTCTTATATTCTGAGTCCACTTTTCCAGAATTTTATTAGTTTTTTGTACAAATTTAGATGTCTCCTGATTTCCTTTTTTTTTTTTTTTTTGAGATGGAGTCTCGCTCTGTCACCCAGGCTGGAATGCAGTGGTGTGATTTCTTCTCAGCAGATGCAGACACTTCTCTGAAGACCAACAGCAGAATTGAAGTCTCAGGATGGGTAAAAGCTTCTGTAAACATCCAGATCCACAGCCCCAAGCACTTTCCCTTCACCCTAGCTGAATACCACATCTTGAGGCAATCAACTACTAAAAGGCTGCTCAAACTCCCTTTTTCTGTAGTGAGACTACTTCACCCCCCTTTTTATTTGGCTACTCTAAATTCTCCTTTTCTAGAAATACAACAGCCCTCAATGACTTCTTGAGGAAAAAGAAGATAATCACAAATTCAGTTTCAACAAGCAGGACATTTTGCTATACTGTACCAACTAAGCCATGTTCCTCAATCCAGCTTTTGGGAGTCTGAGAGGAAATACCTCTCAGAGCAGGGAGTCAAGGAGATATATTTGTATTCCAATCTGAAAACGGTACTTTGTATAAAGGTGGCTGGTCAGGTTGCTTGTGGAGGGGTTGGGTGGTTGGACAAGAAGAGGGATGTGATTTGGGCATTCCTGAACCTTTGGCTCCTTATCCTCACAGGAGGAAAGGAACTTGGGCAAAGTAGTTAACTTCTCCGCTTCAGCTTCCTGATCAGTAAAATGGAGACAATAACAGGAAGTCCCTGACAGGGTTGTGGTGAGAATTAAATGAAGGAACACTTGAGAAGTCTTTAAAAGAGCGCCTGGTGCACTGTAAGTACTGTGCCACAGAATGCCATCATAATGACACCAATCACTTCTCTCCAAACTCTCTGAGCACCCTTGTAGATGGATTACCTAAACCATCCCTCCCAGACCCTTCACAGAGGATGTCATTAAAGGCAGTAAAGCTACTCTCTCTCGTGTGCAGGGGAAAAGAATATAATCCCTTTATAAGCTAACCAAATAAATTCTCTCAGAGCACGAACTGCCCTTGCATGAAGAACATACCTCCGGGGATGCTTGCTTAGTTGGGGAGGTGAGTGAGGCTCTCTGGACCTAGCTGAGATGGCCCGGATCTGAAGGAAGAGAGCAGCTCAAATTCTCCACAGAATAACTTAGAAACTTTGAAGGATGGGAGCTGGAAGAGGTGAGGGAGCTCTAGGGTCAGGCAGGAAGCTCAATGGAAGAGAAATTTGAGATAAATTGTTCTAATATTCTTCTGTGTAGTTTGCTGATTTGTTGATTTTTTTTTTTTTTTACTTTTTTTCCCTTTTTTAAAATTATACTTTAAGTTCTAGGATACATGTGCAGAACGTGCAGGTTACATAGGTATACACGTGCCATGGTGGTTTGCTGCATCCATCAACCTGTCATCTACATTAGGTATTTCTGCTAATGCTATCCCTCCCCTAGCCCCCCACCCCACAACACGCCCCACTGTGTGATGTTCCCCTCCCTGTGTCCATGTGTTCTCATTGTTCAACTCCCACTTATAGGTGAGAATGTGCAGTGTTTGGTTATTCTGTTCCTGTGTTAGTTTGCTGATAACAATGGTTTCCAGCTTCATCCATGTCCCTGTAAAGGACATGAACTCATCTTTTTTTATATCTGTATAGTATTCCATGGTGTATATGTGCCACATTTTCCTTATCCAGTCTATCATTGATGGGCATTTGGGTTGGTTCCAAGACTTTGCTATTATGAATAGTGCTGCAATAAACATATATGTGCATGTGTCTTTACAGTAGAATGATTTATAATCCTTTGGGTACATACACAGTAATGGGATTGCTAGGTCAAATGGTATTTCTGGTTCTAGATCCTTGAGGAATCCCCACACTGTCTTCCACAATGGTTGCACTAATTTACCCTCCCACCAACAGTGTAAAAGTGTTCCTATTTCTCCACAGCCTCGCCAGCATATGTTGTTTCCTGACTTTCTAATGATCGCCATTCTACCTGGCATGAGATGGTATTTCATTGTAGTTTTGATTTGTATTTCTCTAATGACCAGTGATGATGAGCGTTTTTTCATGTTTGTTGGCCGCATAAATGTCTTCTTTTGAGAAGTGTCTGTTCATATCCTTTGCCTACTTTTTGATGGGGTTGTTTTTCTCTTGTAAATTGGTTAATGTTTTACTGGTTAGCCTTTCAAAACAATTTCTGGCCAGGCACAGTGGCTCATGCCTGTAATCCCAACACTTTGAGAGGCTCCGGAGGATTGCTGAAGCCAAGAGTTCGAGACCAACCTGGGCAACCCAGCAAGACCCCATCTCTACAAAAAATAAAAATGAAAAAATTAGCCAGGCATAGTGGCACATGCCTGTAGTCCTAGCTGCTTGGGGAACTGAGGCAGGAGGATCATTTGAGCCCAGGAAGTTGAGGCTGCAGTGAACTATGATCATGCCACTACACTCCAGCCTGGGTGACAAAGCAAGACCCTGTCTCAAAATAAAAATAAATTCAATTAAAAAATTTATTGTAACATTGTTTAGTGTAGTACATGCTCAACTAAAAAGAAATAACTTTTTTTTCTTTCTTTTCTTTTTTTTTTGAGACAAAGTCTCATTGTCGCCCAGGTTGGAGTGCAGTGGCATGATCTTGGCTCACTGCAACCTCCACCTCCTGGTTTCAAGAGATTCTATTGCCTCAGTCTCCCTAGTAGCTGGGATTACAGGCACACACCACCATGCCCAGCTAATGTTTATATTTTTAGTAGAGAAGGGGTTTCGCCATGTTGGCCAGGCTGGTCTCAAACTCCTGACCTCAAGTGATCTGCCCGCCTCGGCCTCCCAAAGTGCTGGAATTACAGGTGTGAGTCACCACGCCCAGCCCAAAAAACACCTTTCACAGAAAGGGGAAAAAGTAGAAGTGAAAGTTCCCCAGCTCCCCACAGTCTGGTCTGGGGTGTGTTCTTCCAGATGATGCTTTTACACAAACACAAACATATCTATTCTTGTTCTTTTTCTATAAAAGTTGGGTCATAGCAGGTACATGGTTCTGAGACTCTATTTCGTATTGCCTGCTGTGCTAAAATAAACCCTCTCCACTGTCCCAAACCTTCAGCAACATCCTGCTACTTGCCTTGTGCTGTTTATGCTCTTTGGACCAGCTGCTTGAGAGTTTTCTCTCAGTGAAAGGAAGAAATTATAGTTTCACCTCACTACAATCATATGGTAATAACAGCTACTGCTTATGGTACCCCTACTGTGTCTGGCAGTCTCTTTGGTGCTTTACTTGAATTCTCATACCCATTCCTCACAACAACCCCTTGGAAGTCGGTCCCACTATTATCCTATGTGGGTTCACAGATGAAAACTCAAGGCTCAAAAGGTAATGAGTGGGAAATTAAGGAGAAAAGCACATATGCTGGAGGCAGGACTTGGGCATTCAGCATCTCCTTAAATCTTTACAATGACCTTATGAGGGAGCTGTCACCCCAAATGAGGACACTGAGGCTGCAGAGTTCACAGAGCAAGCAGCATTCCTGTTCTCTGCCAGGATGAAGCCACTGAGAGTTCATAAGTACATCCATCCCTTTCCGTAAAACTTGATGAAAGAAAGCTAGCAAAGATCTGAAAACATGGAGGTACACACAGTGCTCAGTGATTGCAAAACTCAATATAATAAAGATGTCAATCTTCCCCAAAGTTATCTATAGATTTAACCTGATTACTATCAAAATCCCAAAGGGATTTTTCACAGATATACGCAAGTTGGCCCAGCATGGTGGCTCATGCCTGTTATCCCAGCACTTTGGGAGGTTGAGGCGAGAGGATCACTTGGGGCCAGGAGTTTGAGACCAACCTAGGCAACATTACGAGACCCAGCCTCTACAAAAAAAAAAAATTAAAAATTAGCCAGGTGTGGTGGCACATGCCTGCAGTCTTAGCTACTTGGGAGGCTGAGGTGGGAGGATCATTTTAGCCCAAGAGTTTGAGGCTGCAGTGAGCTACAATCACGTCACTGCACTCCAGTCTGGGCAAAAGCACTTGTTAGGGGGAGATAGAAGAGGAAAAGAAACTCTCAAAACTCAACAGTAAAAAAGACATGAAGATTCCATTAAAAGGCTTGGCACAGTGGCTCACACCTGTATTCCCAGCACTTTGGGAGGCTGAGGTGAGAGGATCACTTGAGGCCAGGGGTTTGAGACAAGCCTGGGCAACATAGTGACACCCTATCTCTAAAAAAAATTAAAACATTAGTCAGGTATGATGGTGCACATCTGTGGTCCTGGGTACTCAGGAGGCTGAGGCAGGAGGATCACTTGAGTCCACATCAAAGTTTCAGTGAGACATGATTGCACCACTGTACTCAATCTGGGTGACAGAGTGAGACCCTGTCTCCAAAAAAAAAAGTAAAAAATAGATTCCATTAGAAAATGAGCAATATATGAACAGAATTTCACCAAAAAGAATACGCAGATGGCAAAAAACATGTTCAACATCATTAGTTACTAAGGAAATGCAAATTAAAACCACAATAAGCTAAGGTATCATTGTACACCTATACGAATGGCTAAAATAAAAAACAGTAATACCAAATGTTCACAAGGATGCGGAAAAAACGAATCTCTCATACACTGATGTTAGGAATATAAAATGGTAAGGCTCTGGAAATCATTCTGGCAATTTCCTATGAGACTAAACGTGTACTTATCATATGACCCTGCAAGTGCACTCTTGGGCATTTATCCCAGAGAAATGAAAACTTATAGTCACACAAAAACCTGCATGCTGATGTTCACAGCAGCTTTATCTGTAATTGCAAAACCAGGAAACAACCCAAATGTCCATCAAGTAGTAATTGGATAAAGAAATTCTGGTCTGTCCACCCAAGGGAATACTATTGAGCTGGAACAAACTACTGATACACACAACAACCCAGATGCAACTCAAAAGGATTACATTTGGTAAAGAATGTCAATCCCAAAAGACTACATAGTATAGGACTCTATTTATGTAACATTCTTGAAATTAGAAAATTTTAGAGATACAGAACAGATTAATCATTGCCAGGGAGCAAGGATGGGGCAGAGTGGGTATGATTATGAAGGGGAAGCACAAGGGAGGTCATTGAACAGATTTATATCATGACTGTGGTGGTTGTTAAATCTATACATGGGATAAGACCACATAGAAAAACACACGCACATACAAATGCATGTAAAATGGTGAAAATTAGGTCTATATTCTAGTTAACAATCTTGTAATAATTTCCTGAATTTGATATTGTACTATAATAACATAAGGTGCCACCATTAGAGGAAGCATGCTTTCAGGTACATGGGACTCTATGTACTTTTGCAACTTTCTTGTGACTCTATAATTATTTTAAAATAATTTTTAAAAATAACTAGTGTGGGGCTGGGTGCGGTGGCTCATGCCTATAATCCCAGCACTTTAGGAGGCCAAAGTGGGCAGATCATTTCAGGTCAGGAGTTCGAGACCAGCCTGGCCAATATGATGAAACTGAGTGTCTAATAAAAACACAAAATTAGTTGGGCATGGTGGCACATGCCTGTAATCGCAGCTACTCGGGAGGCTGAAGCACAAGAATGGCTTGAACTGGTGAGGTGGAGGTTGCAGTGAGCCGAGATCATGCCACTGCACTCCAGCCTGGGTGATAGAGCTAGACTCTGTCTCAAAAAAAAACAAAAAACAAAAAAACTAGTGTGGGATTCCAGGGTGGCAGAAAGTAGCCTTAGCGAATTTCTTTGCTAGACTTGTTTTTCCTGTGTTAGCTGTCTTCTATGCACAGCTGGGGTAGTTTAAAAATTCCTCCTCCTTTCGACAAGTTTTACAAACAGTGCTAAAAAGAAGTGTATCAGTGCTTCTTTGTAAAAAGCATTATTATGTTTTCTTAAGTGACAGTTATTTTAATATTTACAAATAAAAATTATATACACATGGTGAAAATATTAGTACTTTTAGACCCTAAAGAGCTTTTGCTAATGTAGGTTACAGAGCTATCAATATTTATTATATGAGAAATCAAAACTGCAAATTTTAAAAATATCTATTAATGCATTTAAAATAATAAATCCACTGATTATTGTACATAAAATTTTATTAAAATAATTGCATTTTCATAAACAAAGATTTTAGGAATGTTTTACATTTCTGAAAATCTCTTAAATGTCTGCCTCAGTACAAGACAGCTAGATTCTCGTATTTGCTTCTGCATTTAATGTTGTAACATGCCGTTTTGGATAAATCATATGAAGACAAATCCAACCTCATGGAGATATGTAGTTGGAAAAAGGATTTCCCAGTCACTTGAAAGGGTCTCAGTCTCAGGTGTCTCCAGGACTCCTCACACCACACTTTAAGAACCAATATGTTAGAGAGACATATTGAAACATTTTCAGATTAAAAAAAAGTCAGCAATTTGCATTAAAGTACTCCAAAACACACACACACATACACAGACACACACACACACACCCCCATGTACATATAGTTGATTCATTATTTGTGGCAGTTATATTCTATAAAGTCACCTTAACCAATGAATTACCAAATACCAAGCCACTGCTCCTAGTAGAAATACAGGTTTAGGTTCCTGGGGGCCTCTCATTGCATTCCTTAAAATGATCAATACACACAACCTTGTTTTATGTATGCTTCTGTCTAAAGACACCCTCTTTAATATATATTTCTTAAAATAATACATTATATGCAGTATTTTATAGTAAACCACTAGCCAAGAAGGGTTTAACATTTTCCTGATCCTGGGTTAACATAACCATAAATTTCTTTGGCTTTCAAAAGCCTCACAACCATGCTGTCCACTGTGCTTTTTCTAATCAGTAGTTATCTCATGAATCTACAAACTTTGCTGCTTTTCCATTTATTCCATAGCTCCATCACACACTAACGATGTTACTTTAGCACCATACAGAGTGTCTTCACACATAGATTGGCAAATTTCCTATTCCTTTTTCTGGATGTACTGTGTTGCTGATTTATTAACATTGAACTCACAGCAGACAGCGTTATAAATCATGCCTAATGGAAGCCTATCTAACACATGTATTTTCCCCTATAGGGAACATCACTGCCTTCTGGCTCTTAGAAACACTAGACGGTACTTCAGCACTATGATTGGGAGCCATTTTAAACAGTGAAATCACCAACAAAAGCCATAAAAATATCACTAAATCAACTATGAAAAGAACACTTGCTTACAGTATGAGAGCAGAAACAAGAACATCGCCTTTTCTAACCTCAGCTGGGAATATTGAGTGCCTGACAACTAAATTGTTTTGCCACTCTGTGCAGGTCTATGAATGACTATTGAAAGCACTGCAAGTATCGATTTGGGGTTACAGATAAGTTTGAAGTAAGTGAACTTGCAAATATGAAATCTGTGAATAATAAGAATCAACTTTTTATATATGTGTATATATATATAACTACATTTATATAAGAATCAAGTATATATATAACTATATATATGTAGCTTTATTTATATATATAAAACTACAGACACATATATATATCCACACAAATATGTGTGTGTGCGCCATTCAAATGATGAGCAGAAATTGTAATTGTTGAAGCTGGATGATAGGTATATGGGGATTCATTTCACTAGTCTAATTTTGTGTATGTTTGCAATTTTCCATAAGATAAAGTTTTGTAAAGTGGTTTATTTTGGACTGCATTGCATTTCCACTTTCTTTAATTCCTTACCAGCATGCAGAAGTCTGCAGCTGTCAAAGGTGAAGTTCAAGTGACATTTTGGGACAAACTGCCATCCACCACCAACCCAACCTACCACACGTCCTCCTGGGGAGTACTAATCCAGTACGCACTCCCTGCTATAACAGGGACAGTGACAGGCAGAACTGTAACATCAATAGCTCTTTCTCTTGGAGAGAACCTCTGGGTCAGAGGCAATGGAACCCTGTATTATTTTGAGAGCCCACTGAGCCCAGACCAGCTGACTCTGTGGAAGTGTGGTTTTAACGTGCATGTATGGCTTTAGCAGAAGGTAACTTGGATTCTGGTCCAAGGGTGTGGATTCCAATCACTTAACTCCAGCCTGGGTTGAGTCAGCAGTCTAGAGAAAGGGCCTCAGTCAAACAATCCTTAGGAGATCCAGTACTGTCCAACTAACCTTCATATATTCTCTCCACTCTAGTACATGGATATGCTTGACATTTTTAAAGAACAGGAAGCAGGCAGACACTTCCTATTTTACAAGGTGAAGCATCCCACTATCCTTGTATGCAAGATCAGTCCCTCCAGCAGAGTTTTGCATCTCATCCTTTCCCTTACCTTCTCATAAACCTCATGCATCAGCCATCTCCTCTCTCTTCCCCATCTTCAACATTCTCTTTCTCCTAACTCTTCCCCATCAGCATATGCACACTCCCAAGTCTCTGTCATCTTCATAAAAATTCTCCCTCGATCTTATGTGACCCTCCCACTACATCAGATCTTTCCAAGTTTAACGGAAATATAACGTGCATGTATGGTTTCCACTACTTTAATGCCCAATGTTCCAGTTATATTCTGCTGTATAATAAACCACCCCAAAACTTGGGGCTTAAAACAATAATCATTTAATTATACTCACGACTGTGTGGGTGAGGAATGTGGGCAAAGCTCACTAGATAATTCTGCTGTCCCATGTGCCATCTACTGAGGTCACTCAGTGGTATCCAGCTGGCTGGCTAGGTTGTTTTGGAGGGACCAAGATGACTTCCTTCATATGCGTGGCGCATTGGTGGGGATAACTGGAAAGCTGGGCTCAGCTGGGCTGTGCGCTCTCTCTCCATGTTGTCTCTGGACCTCTCCATTTGGTTTCTCCAGCAGGGCAGTCAGACTTCTTACATGGTTCCTGAGGGATCCAAAAGACCAAGGCAAAAGTTACAGGATTCTTAAAACCTATCCTTGGCAGTCAAGCAGCATTAATTCCCTGCATTCTTTCAGTTAAACTTTTGTACAGGGCCCACCAGATTCAACAGTAGAGGGACTACACAGAGGTACAGTTACTTGGAGGCTTGGTTGATAGGAGTCACATGTTACAGACTACCGCCCCCATGTACTCCTCAAACCGCTGCATTCCCCATCACTCCATTGAAACTGTAATCTTTGAGGTAAAGACAGATGTCTTAGTTGCTAATCCAATAGATGCCTGTCAGTACTTGTTTTGCTTGTTTTTTTGTTTGTTTTTATTTGGTTTTTTTTTTTGTTTGTTTGTTTGTTTTTTTGTTTTTGGAATTGGACCCTATTGACCACTAAATTCCTTCTTGAAATTCTCCTCCCCTAGCTTCTGTATATCACCTTTCCTTGTCTTTTCCTCAGTCTCCTAAAGTGACTTATTTCTTAGGCTCTCCCCTTATCTATTGGGCTTTGCTATCAGTTCTCTTCTCACTCTGCATATGCTACCTAGTTATATCAACTACACCTATAGCCTCATCTATCACTTAACTACTGGTGGTTCCTCAATATATATCTCCATCCCAGACTTCTCTCCAGTGATCCAGAATCTCATGTACTCACCTAGATGTCCAGCGGGTACTTCAAACAGCCAAAGCTTAATTCATCTTCCTTACACATGCTCTCTTCCTTGTCTTTTCTCTCCTGTATTTACCACCCGCCTAGATGCCCAAGGCTGAAACTTGGAAGTCATCCTTAACTCTACCATCTCTCCTATTATACTGAATACAGTTTGTCACTGATCCCCAACCATTCAGCTTGCTAAAAAGCTTGTCAATTTATCTATTCCTCTCCATCCTAAATACTAGGTCTCTGGCAGAGGACTAGATAGGGTCTCAGTTCATCATTCTGATCTGTAAACCATATAGAAATTAACATTTACTATAATAAACTCAAACACCTTTTTTTATAAAGCAGAGGTGATCTAGAGATATCAGGACAGGAGATATTTAATGAGTTAAACTCCACATGGGGAGAAGCACTCAAGTTGGTAGCAATGGGATGTTGCCTTTCGGTAACCTCTAGGGTGAAGTTACTTCAGTTCCTGGGAAGCCCCAGGTGGGGGCTTATTGGCTAATCAAGCTCCTTATACCCCTGAGCATGCCATCCTGAAACATCATCGCATTTAGTATGATTATAAAAACTGCCTTAATTAAGCCTCATCATCTGGATCTCACATCCAGATTGTGTGTACAATTTCTTAATACATTGCCAGCACATCATGGCTACACACACCACAGGTTATAGCACAGTGACCAGACAGATTCTGGCTTCTAGTAAATGACCAAATAGCTCCTATCAAACCCATCCTCCTTCAGATGTAACAACTATACACTCTGGACAATTTGTTTTTTAATTACCTGCAAGTATTGACAAGCAACCGAAGGCAGGCAGAAACTGGAGGACGATCTACATTTGAAAGAAGAGATCAAAACTAGATGAGATTCCCATTTTTAAGACTTTGAACCACAGGGGTAGGCCCCAATCAGTTCCCTGATGGGTGAACCTTACTGACTTGAAGACAAGAGGACAGAGTTCAGAGTTTCCACAGCAGCTGAAAACTGTGGGGATAAAATCTTGGAATGGAGACAGCCAGATAGGCAGAGTCCTGAATTCTGTGTATAAACTCTACCCAAATCTCTGGCCAACCTCTGAATTATGCACTCATGGGACAGTCTCCAAACAGTCTGTATGTATAAGACTAAAAGAACTGACTAGAGACTTCAGTTGCTGCCTGCCACAAGGGAGACAGAGCATGGAATTCGAGTTTAGTCACGTTAAATGTTGCTAAAACAAAAATGTCAATATTTTTCAGAGGGATATAATGGAATCCAGTTTCTCTAGAACATGTCCTCTGCAATATCCAGGAGACAAGTCAAAATGACTGAACATTGTTTGAGGAAAGTCAAAATGATTGAACATGTTTCCTATGGGAAACAGGAAAATGTAACCTATACCAAAGAAAAAAGGCAATCAATGAAGACTGACCCTGAGATGACTGACATGTTAGAATTAGCAGACAGGAATTTTTAACCAGCTATTATAATGATTCCCAAGGACACAGAGGAAAATATGCTCGTAATGAATAGTGACCAGCTGTACTGCAACCATGTAAAGATGAGCAGCCTATAGAGGTGGGTGGCTGGTTCACAGTCTAGAAGATAGAAGAGACTGGGAGTGGCAAGCCTGGCCAGGACCTACAGCACCCACCAACACTGTCTTAGTTCAGATTCTTACTGTTTTTCACGTAGACCATTAAAACAGTCTCAAAAATTGCCTCCCTGCTTCTGGTTACTATTTACTATGACCCCCCCAACACACACAGAGACCCTAAACACATCTACAGTGATTCCAGAATTACCTATTTGAACACAGGCTTAATTAGGACTTTACTGATTCCAAGTAACAGAAACACCATTTGGGTCAAAGAGTTAATTTACTGGAAGTTTCACATAATCATAAGTAGATGAGCCTCAAGGACAAGTACAATCAGAGACTCAAACATGAACAGGAATCTTTCAATTGCTCATCCTGTAAGTTCACTTCATTCTCTGAAACAAGTTTCCTCCCCATGGCTGTAAAATGGGCCACCAGCAGTTTCTGGCCACATATCTCCTAGCTGTGCCACAAAACCAAGAGGCAATATTTTCCCTCAATTAAATTTTTAAAATTCAAAGAAAAACATTCTGATTGTCCTGACCTAGACCACATGCCACACCTCAACCAATCGAATCAACTGTGGCCAGGGAGACAGGTACTGTGATTGGAAGCTCTCACGAGCACTGAATGGCTGGACAGGAGAGGAACAGTGCACCAGAGTCACAGAGGGGTTCATTTCCAGGGCAAAGGAAGGACTCTGGGAAAAGAAACTGTCAAATGATAAAGGTCTAACAGGTTTCCTGTGGTCACCACTTCAATTTGTGGCAATATCGTCCTCCATGCAAATGTCAGCGTCCTGGGATTTCTCTTACAGCAGAGACTTCTGTTGTTCCCCAATATCTGTTCTCCCCTTCCCCCTACCCAGTATTTTACTGCGTGAAACATAAATGCAATGACCAGAGGACAAGTGTCACATGGTGGAGACGATGGGACAGAAAGTCCATACGTTATTTTGGATGGCTAATAACTCACAGCTGAACCTGATGCTAACTGACAACCCCCTCACTCCCCACATCTAATCAAGGCAAAACAACACTGAAGTTAAGAGTGTGGGTTAGAGCCAAACCACCTGAGTTTGAATCTAGGCTCTGCCACTTACTAGTTCTGTTCAGCACATTACTTTATCTCTCTGTTCCTGCTTCCTTAGGCATAAAATGATGTTAATGTACCTCACAGGTTGGTTGTGAGAATTAAGACGATTCACGTAAGCACTTAGAACACTGCTCAATGAGTATTAACTACCATATTCAAGGCATCTCAATTTTACCTACTGAAGATCTTGGAAGACAGTATCTTCTTTCACAGCCCAAAAGCCACTTTATATCACTTCAATGAGCCATTGCCTCCTCCACAGCGTCCTCCACATTGTCTCAGCCTGAACTTTCTGAAACACCTTGATCTGACCATGTTACTCCTATTGGAAACTCCTCAATGATTCTTCCTTTCCTACAAAATAAAGCCTTAACTTCTTAGCCTAGTGACCAAGGTTCCTTGCATAAGGGCCCGAATGGCCTTTCTGGGCTCATCTCCTGCCACTCCTCCATGATGCCCCAAAGTCCGGTCACACTGAACTATTCTCTACCATCAACTTCCTACCTGCCTCTAAAGTACTAACAACTCCCGTGTTCCCTCCCTCCTTAACTGTTTCCTCTGTTGGCTGCTGTGGCACCACACCCTCCTGGTTTTCTTCCAATCTCCCTGGCTATTCTTTTTCCATCTTTCTCATGGGTTTCTCATTCTTCAGCCCATCTGTGTCGACGTTCCCAGGTTCCATCCTCAGCCCACTTCCTGTTTCACTGCATGTCCTGCCCCGGAGTGATGGCATCCCCTGGCAAGCTTCTAAGCTCCACCTGACAGCCTCATGATCCCCGGATTTTCACTCCTAACCTCTTTCCTGAGTTTTTGTTTCAAAGATCCTGAGATATCACACCCCCTGAATAGACACCTCAACTTCAGCATGTCCAAAACCAAACTCACGTTCCCCACCCCAAACCCACTTCCCCTCTTTACTCTGAACCTGCTGCTGGCACCACCATCATCCAAGCCTGGAATTCTTCGATGTGCACATCTAAGAAATGACCAAATCCTAATTCATGTCCTCAATAACTCTCCAACCTGCCTTCTCTCTATACTCACTGCCACTGCTCTCGTTCTGGCCCAAATCCCCTCTAGCACAGACTCTGCCATAGTCACCTCCCTGCCTGCCTCCACTCACTCCTCCAATCCAATGGGCAACCTGTTACCCACCTCCAGCGAAAACCTCATCATGTCACTGCCCTGCTTGAAACTCTTCACTAGTTCCCACTGCTCCGTCAGACACAATTATTCTTTGCCTCATAGTAAATATCTACTATTTACTGAAGCCTATGCTAAGTATGAGGAATGCTTGAAATGGCTGCTGCCTTTTAAGGAATTTACCATCTATCTGAGAAGACAGACATATAAATAACCACTAATAACATGATGTAATAAGTCCTGTGATAGACACACCAACAGAGTACTACAGGAGCACAAGACTTAGGGGTAGGAACCACATCTTCCTAATCTTTGTATCTCCAATATCTGATACCAAGTTTGATTAACTAGAGAATTTTATCTGAATACTGAAAGGATGTCCTTCTCTGAGCCTCAGCTTCCCACTATATAAAATGGCTCACAACTCACATATCAAAGTATATAATTATGTATTTGTTACATATAACATACATACTATATACGTATATAATATGCATACATACG